GCTAATCCCAAGTGTTTATCGGCCAGGTTGACACAATAAACCTTAACTATCTCAGAACCATTGTGTCACTGTCAACACCTTCTCTGGAAGATTAGGCTTTCATTTCCCATGGGCAGTTCTATCCTGTCCTATAAGGTCACTAAGAATCAGAATTAACTTGATAACTGTGTATTTTTGTGGGGGCGGTTAGGATTATCTGTCAGTTAAGTGTTGGGCTGCTAACTTGCTAACCACCAGGTTGGCAGTTTAAACCCACCAGTTCTATAGGAGAAGGAAGCTGTCTGCTTCTGTAACAATTTACAAAGCCTCAGAAAATATAGGGTCACTATGAGTCAGACTCTATTCCACAGCAGTGAGTATGGGGGTATACTTTGATAAGATGTGCCCCGGTAAAACAAGGGTTAAGCACTCAGCTAAGTGAAAGGTTGGTGCTTCAACCCACTTAGCAGCTCCAGGAGAAAGACCCAGTGATCTGTTCCCATAAAGATTGTAATCTCTCAAACTGTGGGGCATTTCTGCTATGTCATACGGGTCACTGTGAGAACTGACAGTACCTCCCAAAACTAAAGCTGTTATATTCAGTGTATTTTTGAGATTGCCCTCCAGAACAGAAACTGGATAGTAGGTCCGGAACTTCAAGAAAGCATGTTGGGAATACCCGGCAAAGGCAGACAGCGAAATGTATCATAGGGGATTTGTGGTGACGTGTGGCATATACCAGCCCTCCCTGAGCTGGGTCTCGAGGACCCGGTCATTTGTCTAAGTGTTCCCTCAATCCTTGTCAGCTGGAAGCCACACTTTGTTAGAATCACCCAGTACGATGTGAATGTCTAGCAGTGCATTTCTCTAGAGTGTATGCTGTGGCCTACTAGTTCTTACGTTCTTCCTTAAAAATAACCTTTAGGAAAATGTACATTATACCCCATGCCTGAAGTTTCAAGACACACAGCAAAAGCTAAAAGTTTCAATAAATCCTGCAGAAACTATTTTAAGCTTTTTTACAGAACATTTTATCATGAAAGCAATGTAACTTTAATATCAAACCCACAACCAGCAAATCAGTTCTCATAGTGACCCTCCATAGGGCTTACAAGACTGAATCTTGATGAACTTTGAAATGATGGTGTTGATGAAGCCTCATCTGTGGTGTGACTGGTGGGCTTGAACTGACAAGTTCAATGGTGATCCCACAGCACCACTCAGAAAAAGTAACCAAACTTGCTGCCATCGAGTCAACTAGGATCATCGTGACCCTAGAGGGCAGGGTGTTTCCAGACTGTAACTATGGAGTAGAAAGCCTTCTCTGTCTCCCACAGAGCAGATGGTTTCAAACTCAAAACCACTCGCTCACCAGGGCTCCCTCTTCCGGTAGCATTCCCGACGGGGCTGCTCAGTGTAACCTGACATGGTGAAATTCCAGAGATGCTTTCTGCTGAGGGACCCTGAGCCACCCTGAAGATAGGAACATCCTCTAGTTCTGATTTCAGTGAAGCAAGGCCTGTTAGGGTTCCAGTTCTTTGCTTGCCATGAGAGTCCTTGTTGTCATTATCAAATAAACCTCCTTCCTTTGAGCTCTCTGAAGTTGGGCTCCTGTCACACCCAAGTCCAAAGTTCCATGTTTGCTCCAGTGTCAATTTCCTACCTACTTATGTGTGAGCATTTTTGGTTTGACATTTTGATTTTATTCTTACAATAATTCTGCTCTCAAGGTTATAGTTTCTAGTTACATGGCTTTCCTTTTTCCAGCGTAATACCTTGTCCTTCATTGATTACCATAAACTTCTTATCCTGTGTACGAATGTTTGAAGCCATTGTTGCATTGTCTTTCAAAAAGCTAGCCTTTTCTATGTACTGACATAAATCGCTGCAGACCGCGATATAAAATTTAATCCTAACCCCTGTAGAAGGAGCTGTTTAAAGATAACTAGCTGGTTCAGGTGGTAGTGCTTCCGAGGATGGCCTCACTTTTCCCCAGCATTTTTAGGAAGAATGCCATGCTGTAAAAAAGACTAGTGTCGTGGGTTGGGGGGGGATGAGGAGCTGATGCCAGGGGCTTAAGTGGAGAGCAAATGTTTTGAGAATGATGAGGGCAATGAATGTACAAATGTGCTTTACACAATTGATGTATGTATGGATTGATAAGAGTTTTATGAGCCCCTAATAAAGCGATTAAAAAGAAAAAGAAAAGGTTAAGAGCAATAACAAAAAAAGACTAGTATCTGCTAATAAATGACAAGAGTCATAGTTTCAGAAAACATGGCATTTTATAAAAGAGATGGTTTGGGATAATCATTATCAATAAATAAAATGTTGCTAAAGTTTACCTGAGATATACTATTAGGATGGGCCATATGGAATTCTTGCTATTAAAGCATGTTTGGCTTATGAAAATAGTATCTGCTTGTTTCAGCCTGTTTAAAGTGTTTTCCTTTAGAGAAATAGCTTGGTCATGGATTAACTTCTAAAACTAAGCATATTTGCCTTCAATTGGCTCTACTGGAGCATATATCTGAACCCGGTCTGGGGCTGATTTTCTAATCCTACTCTTTCCTGATGGGCAGTTGTCATATAGCTCCTTGGGGATGCCATAATAAATCGTCACAAATCAGATAAGTTTTAAACAAAAGTAATTTATTAACCCAGGGTTTTAGAAACAAGAAGCCCAAGATCACTATTACTGGGCCAAAATCCACTCTGTAAGGCTTCACTCTCCATAGGCTCTAGGGAAGTATCTGTTTCTTACCTTTTCCAGAGTGGTGGCTACCAGTATTCCTTGGTTTGTGGCTGCACTACATTGACCTGTTCACATCACCTTCTCTGTGTCTCTCTAATGGCCACATTTAGGGCCCATCCAGATAATCCAGGTTAGTTTCTCCACCTAAAGATCCTCACCACAATCCATTGACAAAGACCATTTCTCCAAATAACTTCACAGGTCTCAAGGGTTAGGTTATACTTGGGGCAGAGTTGGGGAAAGGGCATTTTTCCAACTTCCCATAGCCTTCAAATTCCTGTGTGAGGGATCAGAAGGGCCAGCTTGTGTCTGCAGAGCCCTTAGGAAGTCACTAGGAGGTTTGTGTGTGCCACTTAACCTATATTTTAGTCAGACTTCTCCAAAGACACTCTTCACGTTTGTTGGAAATTGTCCAGCGATTTTCAAGTGTCATAAAGTAGAAATATAACAAGAAAGAGGAACAAGATAAAGAAGGAATCATGCTTTAATAGTCACTAGTAAAATTACCCATATTTCCAACTCTGGGCATATGCTTATTTCATGGTCAAAATGATCTGTTTCTAAAGGATTTAGAAAAGCTGTGGCTTTCTGTGGACAACTCTTAACAATCAAAGCCAAAGCCCTATCATCTCCAGTTCCACTTAAAGCAAGATTGGTCATTTCAGCCCAGAGACAAAAACTTGGATCTCAACCTGCTTAGGCCACAATGAAAAGGAACAACCGTTTCCTGTTCTGAGAAGGGAGTTTCTAGTTTAAGAGTGTCCTGGAAGAGATAACGGGGTTCAAGTTGATCAAGTTTAGTTTCAAATCACAGCTTCACTTTAAACTAAGTGATTTTTCAGCAGGTTAACCTTTCTGGATCTCAGCTGCCTCAGAGAAACTCCTAAACCGTTTATTTGAAAATGTTAATGCCTCTCTTGAAGCCGTTAGCTCTCTTGTGATTTTCTGGTGCAAACCTTCAAGACTAGAAGGTATTGTACCTGAGAAGGAAAATAAGAATTCCATTCTTACTCAATCATTTTCTTTGTCAATTGCAATCTCAAATTGAAATGGAGTCCTCTAGGGGAAAATTAGTTACCCTCAGCCAGTGGATAAAGTGACCTTCATAGGAGTTTAATTCTGAGACTGCTGTCTGTAACCACTGCAGAGAGCAGAACACTCAGTCTAGGCAAATAGTCCTAAATGAGAGAGGAATCCTTTATTCTCAGAATGCATTACAAGTGTCTTTGCATTTCTTCTTGTCCTGGGTGTGGCTTCTTTCTCTTTAAATGAGCTGCAGCTTGGCGGTTTCAGCTTCTCTAAAATGGATGAAGAAATGCTAAGCCGAGCCACATGACAGGGCCTGGAGGGGAAATGATTTGTGTTACATACCAAATTTAAATTCTGCTTCTGCAGTCGAAATAAAAGCAAGAAGGGGAAGAGGCAAAGAAAAAAGCCAAGGGAAGCGGAAATAGTTTCCAAGAGTTTCTTCATGTTTTCAATTCCCTTAGCCCCATTTAAAAATTTTTTTTCATTCCATATTCAGGTCTATTAAGTGGAAACAGACCAAGGAATTTATATTCACTCAGTGCCATCGAGTCGATACAGACATGAGAAATCTATAGGATGCAGTAATGTAGGAGGAAGCATGATTTGAAATGAAAATATGGAAGGTTTAGGTGCCTTGAGCTACTCCATTCAGTGACAGCCAGAGTTTTGCCGGCTTTTTCCCGACAGTATTCCTCGAGGGCACCAGAACACACAGGGAAGCGAAAGCAACGAACTGGATTGTTCCAAACCAGGCACTAGTTTCCTTCCTGCTCCCTCCCCAGAGGCTCAGAATAAGAACTCTGCGCTGTTCGCTGCCAGACACCATGGACAGCTCTTCAGGCGCCACCTGGTTGGCCCGGCGAGTTGCCTGTCCCGGGTCCTCCCCCTCGTCCGTCAAGCCCGGCGGGGGCGGCAAGGGGTGGTCCTGTCACCCATCTTGGGCCCCAAAGCTTTCCCCTGAGAGCCCCTCCCAGGCGCCCACAGGTAGCATTAGGACGCTTTCAAGATCTAGCTATCTCATGCTGAGGGGTCAAGAAGGCCGAAATATCCTCCTCCTCGCCCCCCTACGTTGGGGATCGACAGCAGCCACCGGCGAAGGACACACCGCCAGAAGCGAAAAACGCGGCAGGTGGCGCGGTCGGCGACTCCCGGGTAACAGGCCGCGCTGCTCGGCCTCGCGGGGGCGGGGTCTCCTTGACGTCCCGCCCCTTCCCCCGCGAGGGGCGGGCTTTCCGCCCCCCGCTGCGGCGCAATGCGGAAGAGATGGGCCTGCTGGAGCGGAAGTGACGCTGCCGGCAGCTGTGGCGGCGGCAGCGGGAGGCGGAGGAGGAGCCGGAGGAAGAGGTGAGCTAGCCGGCGAGGGGCGGGGAGCGGCCGCGGGCAGACCCACCAGCAGCCCGGCGGGCCGGCGGGCGGGCGGACGCTTCCTGAGGCAGCTTCTGGAGTTGCAGCTTGGGCAGAGCGGTGAGGAGCGGCCGCCGGCAGCCCGGGTCCAGGAGGGCGGGGAGGGTCGTGTGGAGAGGACGAGGCGTGCGCGGCGCCACTCGGGACCGCGGGCTGTGGTGACAGCAATGGTCAGCCTGCCCGCGGGAAAGGAGCCCAGTCGGTGTGGGCGCCGGGTCATCGCTTCTGACGCAGGATGGAGGGATTAGCCGCCGCCCCTGCGGTTCGCTGCCTGGGATCCTGGAGGAACCCCGGGCGAGTCTGTGTCCCTTAGTGGTGACTCTTCCCGGGTGGCCAGTCGACGTGCCCGTCTGTCCTCTTCCCACCCCCCAGCCCCCACCCCGAGCCGAAGGTGGGCGACGGGCGGCGGTAACCTGTGCCGCATCCCTGCCCTTCGTCGCCGCCTCCGGCAGCCTGCGAGTCGCGGAGTCCTTTTCCCTCCTCGCCCCGGAGGAGCTTTGAACCCTCCTGCTTCACCTTCCCTCCCGCCGCCTCTCCCCTCCCCTCCCCTCCGCGCAGGAACAGCGTGAAGTTTCCGACGGGGTTCCTTGTCCACGTCGTGACAAATTCAGCAGCAGGAAGCTGATAAACAACTCCGGGCGCCAGGCGCCCCAGGTCTTCCCTTTCGGCGCAGAGATGAAACGGGAGACGACTCTTACCCAAACCGTTCGTGGGCTCCGAGTCATTGTGATGTCAAACCTGGTCTGACCGGGCCGTGAGAATTGGTTTCCGCTTGGTTTTTGGACAAATTAAGTGGTGACATATTTTTGGGAATTAGGCCCCCCCCCCCCCCACACACACACCTTGGGCTTCCCCCATCCCCCATCCAAACCTGCCTGGGAGGGACTTCTGGGTGCCTTTGCAGCCGCTGCTGCAGGAAGGAACCTTAGCTTCGTCTGCTTAGCCTTGCCTGGTTTTTCACAGGGCTGCCTCTGAAGAAAGGAGAATGGCGTTCAGCAAAGGATTTCGGATCTATCACAAATTGGACCCCCCACCTTTCAGCCTGATGGTGGAAACTAGGCATAAGGAGGAATGCCTCATGTTCGAGTCGGGGGCTGTGGCTGTGCTCTGTAAGTCATTCTGTTCTGGCCCCACTTGACGTTGTCGACTCTGTTTTGATGCGAAATCATTCTTTTTATTTGGAAGAAGACCGGCACCACCCCGCTTCCTGGATTTTATCTAGCGAATTATGCTTTTCTTTCCTTTAAATCAAACCTGATTTTCTAGTAAATTTCATCTTCTGTAGGTTGTTTGGTTGGTGGTGGTTGGTTGGTTTTTGTTTTCTTGTGGACCAGCTTGCTGGTTTGGGCTGCGGTTTTGGTTTTTTTGTTTTGTTTTGCTTCATCTGCTTTTTCTAAAAGTAATTTTTTTGAGGGAGAAATACTGTTAGAGATTGTGTCATAATCTTTAAATCCATGAAGTGGTTTGCTTGACATTTTTACTGTGATGAGCAATTTATTACAGGTTAGGTATAGTAATAGACTATAATTTGTCAGCTGATACCAGGGGCTCAAGTAGAAAGCAAATGTTTTGAGAATGATGAGGGCAACAAATGGATGTATGTATGGATTGTGATGAGTTGTACGAGTCCCCAATAAAATGATTTTTTTAAAAGCATTTGTCAGCTATTGTTGGAGTAACTTACAGTGAGGATCTAACATTTTCATTGAAAATGAATTTCATGAATATAAACTATCCAGATTTTCATGTGGGATATTGACTGATTATTTTTTCCTGAAAATGCCATCTTTATTCTTTAAAATTTTTGTAGATTAAAAGATCATTTTATTGGGGGCTCTTACAGCTCTTATAACAATCCATACATTAGTTGTATCAAGCATATTTGTACTCATGTTGCCATCATTGTTTATTGACATTTACTTTCTATTGAGCCCTTGGTATCAGCTCCTCCCCCCCTTGTAACCCCTTGATAAACTATAAATTACTATTATTTTCATATCTTACACTGACTGCTGTCTTCCTTCACCCATGGTTTCTGTTGTTTGTCCCCTCAATTGACTTTTAAAAATACTTTTAGTAGTCTTTTTCCCAGAGAAAGTTTATTGTGCCACAAGAAAAATAGTAGATAACTGTGGTTTGGATCACTGTTGAGCAGACATGAAGTTAAAACATTAAAAGATTAACATGAATATTGACTTTCCCCCCTTAATATAAGTTTTATACAGATAACACCATAAAGGATAACTTCAAATATGATTGTTTTTTAGAAGCTTTCTGGTGATCACATGGTAGTGGATTATGAATTGGGCTGCTAACCACAAGGTCAGCTGTTCAAATATTCTACTCCTATAAAGAGTTACATTAAAAAAAACCCAAAAAACCTTTAAGCAAAGAACATTGCATATAGAATATGTAATCTTAGAGTCCTGGTGGTACTGTCCAGTAAGCCTTGGACTGCTAACTTCAAGGTCACTGGTTCAAACCCATCAGCTGCTCTGTGAGACTGCCTGCTCCAGAAAAGTTTTAATCTCAGAAACCCAAAGGGACAGTTCTGCTCTGTTTTCAGAGTGTCAAGATGACCTGGAATTGGCTCTGCGACAGTGGGTTTGCCTTTTGGTTCTAGAATCTGAAGATTTAAGCCAAAAATATAATTTGTAACAGTATTAATTTACATAGGATATTTTTTTCATACTGAAAATAAAATTTCTATGTTATTGACTTCTTAATTAGAAATATGAGGGTGGGGAAAGTTTGGTTGAGTACTGTGGAACTGCTTGTATTTTTTTTGGTGAAATTACCTGATTCACTAAACTTGTCTAAATGGTAAATATTTCAATTGTGGTTACTGTTAATGGGAAGGGAGATTTTCAGTTACAAAGTATGCATTACTTTCAACTTTTAAGATTATTGCTATACATTAATTCAAGGTCAGGAAAACTAGGAATATTTCCAAAACATCAGCAGCCATCTTGTATGCCAAGTAATGCTTAAAAAAAAAACAACCCTTAAACTTCCATTTTGGTATTAATGTTTGTCTTAAAAAGAATGATGTCTTAACAATTCAGACATCATAAAAATCCTGTCCAGTCTAAACTTCCATTTTGGTAATAATGTTTGTCTTTTTTTTTGGTGGGGGGGTCTGACTTCTTTTACTTATTACAATGTTTTCTTTTTTTTTCCTTTTTTAAAAATTTCTTCTTTTTTTTTAATCATTTTATTAGGGGCTCATACAACTCTTATCACAATCTATGCACACATCAATTGCGTAAAGCGCATTTGTACATTCATTGCCCTCATCATTCTCAAAACATTTGCTCTCCACTTAAGCCCCTGGCATCAGCTCATTTTTCCCCCTCCCTCCTTCCCCGCTCCCCGCTTCCTCGTGAGCCCTTGATAATTTATAAATTATTATTTTGTCATATCTTGCCCTGTCCGACGTCTCCCTTCACTCACTTTTCTGTTGTGCGTCCCCCAGGGAGGAGGTCACATATAGTTCCTAATGTTTGTCTTAAGAAGAATGCCTTAATAATTCAGACATCATGAAAACCCTGTCTTAACTATTTATTTTCCTTTTGTTAGTTTTAGATTATATTTGTAATTCTTGCAGTAGAATAAAGAAGTCTGAGTATAGCTTCTCTGTAAAGCTGGCATTAAATTATATATAATCTCGAGTATGTTAACAGATTTCCTACTATAAACTTTATAGTGATGTTTAAAGTATTAACATTTAAGAGCTTACAAGTCCTTTTGTAAATCACAAACTTTGACCTTCATTTTGAAGAGATGCCAGTGTGTGTATTGGGTTGTATCATGTTTGTTTTTAAAACCTCATTTTTTAAACATGCCTGTTTTATTCAGGGAACTGTAATAGGAAAATACCAGTGTCTTTATCATGGACAGTTCTCTACTACCCTAAATATCAATACATCCTGTATACTAATGTAACGAGGAAACTTTTAAGCCAAAAAGTAACCCTGTAAGATTAAGTTCAAACTCCCTGTCTTTCCATAATTTGAAATGGGAGCTGATAACAAGGAGTACAAGCAGAAAATGTTCTAAAATTGATTGTGGTAATGTAATGCTTGTACAACTCTTCTCAGTATGATTGAGCTATTGAATTGTGTGATATGTGGATTATATCCCAATAAACCTGTTTTTGTTTTTTTTCATTCTTCTATAATTTGGCCCCACCTTGCTTTTTCAGTGTTAATTTCCATACAGGAGATTCAGGTATTTCCTCTTCTTTCTTAAAGTACTTTTTCCCCCCCCAATCCTTTCCTCCAGGAGGCTCTTCTTTCCCCACTTATTCTAGCTCACTTTGTTACTATTTTTTGTTAATTTCTACTAAAGTTTAATCATAGTAGGCTCCTCATTGGCCTGTTACTTGCAAGGTCAGCCGTTCAAACCCACCAGCCTCTTTGTGAGAGAGAGATCAGGCTTTCTGCTCCTGTAAAGATTTGTAATTGCAGAAACCTACAGGGGGCAGTTCTAGTCAGTTCTATAGGGTTGCTGTGAGTCGGAATCAACTCAATGACAGTGAGGTGTTTTGTTTTTCTTTCTTTTAGTCATTATCAGGAGAATTGGTGGCACAATGGTTAAAGTGCTCACCTGCTAACCCAAAAGGTTGTCATTTGAACTCAGCCTCTCCTCCTGGGAAAGGCTATTGCAGACTGCTTCTGTAAAGATGGACAGCCTTGGAAACTCTATGGGGCAATTCTGCTCTGTCCTGTAATCACTATGGATTGGAGCTGACCTGACAGCAATTGTTCCATAGTGTCAGTAAGAGTTGGAATGGACTCAATGACAAATGGGTTTGGATTTTCTTGGTAGACATTTAAAAAATAAAGGCGTTTACTGTAGTGCCATCATTTTCTTTGGGTACTACTTTGTCTTGTACTTTAAAGTTTATCATTTCAACAGGCTCTAGTGCCCTGGCTTTAAAGAGCAAGATTAACAAATTAGACATCGTAGTCATATTTAACCTTGACCAGACATTCCATATCCTTTTTCTCTTTTGCTTTTTTGTAGATAGAGACCAATTGTTGTGCCTTGGAAAGCCACCTGCAAGCTTTGTGTAACACACTAGGAGAGAGACTAGAAGTACTAAGCACATTATTGTGCCAGTTAACTGAAATACATTATGAAACCAATTAATTGGAATATGCCATGAATTCATGACCCTTAACCTCCAACCAAGGAACTAAATCCCATGAGGTTTGAGATTTTTTTGTTGTTGTTGTAAATATATCTATCACACCGTGTTTGTTAATTCAACTTTTTACATATACAACTGACAGCAAGTACAATAATGCTGTGCAACCACCCCCTTGATTAATGAGATTTTTCCATCACCAATAACCTTTCTTCTGCCCTCCCACTCCTGGTAATCAAGTCTTAGGTATACACCTAGGAGTGAAATTGTTGGCTCATATTGTAGTTCTGCTTTTAGTTTTTTGAGGAACTACAACATTGTTTTTCGAAGCAACTATGCCATTTTGCTTTCCCAACAGCAAGGGTAAGAGTTTCCGTTTCTCCAGACCCTTGCCAGCACTTGTTATTTTGGGGGTTCTTTGGTTTTGTTTTGTTTTAACGCTAGCCATCCTAGTGGGAGTGAAATGCTATCTCATTGCGGTTTTGCTTTGCATCTCTCTGGTGACTGGTGATGCGGTATGTCTTCTGTGTGTTAGGGGCCCTTTGAATGTGTATTCAAATACATGTGTTTTGTGACTAGGTCGTTTATCTTTCTGTTGTTGTCAAAGTTTTGTATATGTTTTGATTATTAGATTTTTGGTGAATTTATGGTTTCTGAAGATAATCTCTCATTTGGTAACTTATCTTTTTACTTTTCTGGTAAAGTTTGTAAATTTTATGAGATTTCATTTATTGAATTTGTCTTTTGCTGTTAGTGCTTTTGCTGTTATATTAACTTTCGTTGTTAAAAGCTATACCTAACAATGTTACTCCTGCATCCTAAGAATTTTATGGTTTTAATTTGCACATGTAGGCCCTCAATCTATCCTGAATTTGTATTTATGGTGTGAGATATGAATATTGTGTCTGGAAACTATGCATATGGAAATTCAATTTTCTCAGTTTTATTTACTGAAGA